TTCCGCCCCCCCCCCCCTCCCCCCCCCGTGAATGTGGTTCAGGGAAGGGCAAGGAATGAAATGACTTTGTTTCTGAAAGAATGCACTTTCTTTGCAAGAGGGAAGAAAGCCTTGTCCTGCTGGAGAGTCCCATGCATAGGCTGTCTGGAACAGCGCAGTCTGAAGCGGTTGTTTCTAACCCTGCCAGGTAGTGAGATACTAGACCTTAAAACTGACACTCTGATCTGTAAGGAATGTTTGAATGGTTTGGAGAAGATTGATTACTAACCTTTCTCTGACTCTGAGCCCTGAACGCTCATGGTAACTAAGGTAACCTGATTTCGTAGGCAAAGAAAATAGTGTGCTGGTGAAAATAGATACGCTCCAAAATTGTTCTTTGGGGTTTTTTTTCCTTTTCTTTTTTTTCTTTCCCCCAAGGATAAACAATAGGCTTGCTGGTACATTTGAAGGTGTTTAGGATTATTCACAAGTTCTCTCTGGTCATTACCATTAAGTCACGTCCATGCACATCTGTGTGTATACATACCTGCATGCAAACTTGTGCCTGTATCCTACCCCTTGATTATCTATATATTAGTTACGATTCCATAATCACCTTCCAGAAGTGCTAAATGGCTATATATTGTACTCTCAGGAACAATGACAGGTCGTTTGTCAAAGAGCTGGAGGCATGAGGAATATTTGCTTTTCAGTCCTGCAAATGTCATGGCCCTGTTATCAGTAGGGGAGTTTCTTGCTGTGCAAATGCTTGCCCGTGACCTGGTGCGCTAGTGCATCTTCCATCCAACAGCTCTCTCCTTTTGGGTGAGCTTTGAAAAATCCTCGTGCTTTTGGGACAACCGTCATGTAGAGCTCGTGTATTGATGTACAGGAAGGAAATGTACTTCATGTACTCTAAATCGCAGAAGCATCTTTTTTCAAACCTAGCTGATGCTGAGAACCAAGTGATCCATTTGTACAGTGGCTTCAGATGAAGGCTGGCTTTTGATTACATCTTTGCTTTTTAGATAAAGGCTGCTGCAAATAGTTTAATTGCACATACCTGGTCTTTTTCTGCACTGTGTTGCCTGCTTGCCAACCAGTGCGATCACAACTTTTCTCCTAAACTAGCCCCAAATGTGTCAATTGTTTAAATCCCTGGAAAGAGGCACTCTTACTGAATTGTCTGAGACCTGCTGAGGCCTTTTAGAGCATGGAAAAGTCCCTTGTGCGGACGTGTTGAACTTACAGAGGTTTCCTGTCTGAAGACTCTGTTCTGTATGTTTCGTTAGGAAATTTAAGTTTAAAGTTTTGAGAGTGGCCCAGCTGAAAATGTTGGTTGGTAAGATTTTTATTTTTTTTTTAATACTTAATATATTGTTTGCCAGTCTGTGCTCATTAATCAGGGGTGTAAATTACCTTTTGACCCACCTCCGATTGCCATTGCTATGCTGGCAAAAGCCCCATTGGGCACACTTGCACCAGCAAAAAAAGAGTCATTTTCTTGGTACGCTCTGCTTGGGGAATTAGCAGAAGCTGCACCACTAAGTTCAGCCTCCAGAAACAACATCAGACCTGCACTGTCTCTTCCCAGCAAACTCAAGTGTAGGCGATGGCTGCGTTTCGATGAAGTGCTTTACCACACTAGTAAGTACCACAGGCATGCAGTGGAGGAGTCTACTGGTGTTGCCTTGAAATCGCAACTATTTGCATTAAATGTATTTCAGGGCCGCTAATGCTGATTTTGTAACCACTCACTACATTTCTCCTGCTTTCAAAAGGGAAAACCAAGCACGATTTTGTATTGAGAGGTGTTGCAAACTCTCCTGGCTCTTACTTCTGCCTTGTTGTCATCTCTTTCATTTCGAGACTGAACACAAGCAACTCGGGTATTGCTAGCATTGCTTTCCTGCTATAAAAGAGCTTACCTTTTTATGTTGGATAACAATAAAGAAACAAACTCGTAACCTAGATACTTCCCCCTTCCCTCCGACAGCCGTGTGATTTACTGCCAGAGATGACTCTGTCATTTCTTTGCTATATTGCTGCTGCTGCTGCTGCTGCTGCTGTTTTAAATGGTTTGGTGCGTGAGCTTTCTGAAACAACGTGGTGTGTGTAGGATCTCGTGGGTGACGAAGCTGTCTCTTTTCTTCCTCCTTTCTCTCCTTGGTTTGTGCTTGTCTGTCCGCCGTGGTAGGTTTATTAATGAATTAGATACGTCTGTATTAGGTATAATTTTGAGGAGGTTTGCATGTCGGTAGTTTGTAAGCAACTAAGGTGCCTCATGTTCAGGTCTGAGCAGATAGGAATCCCCTTGCACTCGAGAGGGCCTGATACAAAGCCCGGTGAAGTTGGTAGGAAGACTCTCGCCGACTTCAGGGGGCTTTGGATCAGGCCTTACGCTCCCACCTTTGTTGTGCCTCACTTAAAATGGTGCTTTTTCAGTTGTCTGTCTTTTTTTTCCTGTTGGGTTTTTTTTTTTCTTTGTACGGTGCTGTGTATAACTTGAATATATTATGCACATATCCTACCCAATGGGTAGAACAAACAAACATACAAAAACAAATAGATGTTAATACTGTAAGATAATGTATAGATGAAAACAATTTTAACACAAAAAAATGGCATAGACTTTGTGAATGCCAACTTCTGTGCTTGGTCCTTTTTTGTAAGAAAATTTGCAAATGAATGCATACAAATGACAAAAAGTCTATGTATTTTATTTTCCTATTAAATATCAATATAATATCATAAGGGAAAAAATTTGAACAAATCCTTTTTGACT